TCAAGTGTTCTTTATGGAAAAGTGTTTTTATTGTTAGTATTTCAGACTTAGAGAAAAGTTGTACACCCAGGCCAGGGATGTAGCTCACTAGTAGAGTATTTGTCTAGCATGGAAGAAACCCTGGGTTCAAGTCATATTACTGTAAAAGACGAAAAGGGACAGAGGGCCTGGAAAGGGGGCTCAGCCAGTAAGAACACTGGCTGCTCCTGCAGAGGACCAGAGTTTAGATCCCTTCACCCATGTGCAAGGTAACGACCACCCATAACTCCAGTTCCAGGGGAATCCGGAACCTCTTCTGACATTGCCTGTCCCAGGCATGCACAAAGTACACATACATATGCAGACACAACACTGATGCAAATAAAACAACTATAAAGTAAATAAGGAAAAACTGTCCACACACAGCATAAGTTTTTCCCTATATGTTTAAGATAGATCCCAGGTTTCATTTAAGTGATCTGCTTAACTCCCAACCAAACGTATCAATTTCACCTGAACAATTAGAGAGTAAGTTGCCAACATGACCCCTGTGGTGGACACTCAGACCACTGGCTAACTCTGAGAGAACGCGATGCTTAGCTGTTGGCACTGTGGTTACACATGGCTGTCAATCATTTCCTTTAAGATTTGCCTAATCTGCAGAGAGCAACCTTGCCCAGGGAGATACACCTTTCCTCGATGGCCCAAACTCATTGACAGTCAAAGCAAAACCAGAAAGAGCCAAGGACTTTGGCCCTGCGTGGGATAATGCTGTAGGCTTTTACTGTATAAGGGCTCCCTGGTGGGGTTAGCTCAGGTCATTAGTCTGCATTTCATTTCAACTCCTTCTGCCCAGTCCTGTTTCCTTCCCCTCCCATCCACAGATGTTGATCCCAACAGCTCTCTCTAATAAATATCCTGAGCACTAAGTCTGTCTTAGTCTGCTTCCTGAAAAATCCAAACTCTTGCAGTTAGAGCCAGGGGAGGTCTGAGAAGTCAGAGATCAGACAAGGTTTGGAGCTGGCCCATTCATCACTGGCAAGACAGACCACAGGTACCATGAGTGACAGATGGAGCACAGATAGCCTTTGGCACAAAACAAGCAATTAAAAGACTTTGAAAGTATCTTCTTGTTCACTTAAAAAAGATTGAATTTATTTTTAATTTGTGTGTGTGTCTGTGTGTCTGTGTCTGTAGGTATGTGAATGCCTACACAGGTCCCCCACCTGATGTGGGTGCTAGAAATCAGGTCCTTTGACAGAGCAGCAAGCACTCTTAATCCCTAAACCATCTCTTCAGCCCCCTCCTTAAAAAAACAAAAAACAAAAAACAAAAAACAAACAAGGTCTCAAGTAGTTCAGGCTAGCTTCAAAAACTCCTATGTAACCAAGAATAATCTTGAATTCCTGATCCTCCTGCCTCCACTTCTTGGGTGCTGATATGACACACCTACCTATATTATAACAACCATCTTAAAAAGACTTTTTTTTTGTCAACACAAAAGGAGTAATGGAGGAAGAGAGACAAAACAGACACAAGGAATAGCAAAATGGCAGATATAAATCCTTCATATAAAATGACTCAGCCATGTGAGTCAGCTTTTGTCATCAACCACACCATGGCTGGCACAACAGATGCATGGGTGAAGTGACCCTGTGCCCTGTGGCAGTGTGAGACGCTTTGGAGCCCAGCAGTCCAGGTTCTCGCTTACCAGGGCTGAACTACTTACTGCCTCTACCAGTGTCCAACCTGACAGTGAGAGGCTGTGTCAGGCTCTGGGTATGTCATCATCCCCCAAGAAACCATCTGGTGACAAAAGCTGGATACTTTGGCGAGTGATTCATTCCAACAGGAATGGACAAGTATTTGGGTGAGTGTTTTGATTGTCTCATCCCTCAGGCATCACCCTGGGGGGTTCTGGAATATTCCATCAGCATAGACTCTCACAGAACATTGCATCAGACTGGGGGACAGCAAGGAAGAAGTGGTGATGGTGGGTCCCTCACATGGAATCTAGTTTGTGTTGCTCACAGGCTGCACCTGCGCCTGCCTGACTGCCTCACTCTGCAGAGATCAAATATGTGGCCCTGGGAAGCAAACTTGCTGTCACTCCCCTGGGTCCCAGAACACTCCTGCTGTTCTGATTCTGTGGGGCTAAGGGACCCAGTTCCTAAAATGGGACTCTTCCCACCAGCAATGCCGCAGAAGTCCCTTTGAATACCTAATAGTAGTTGCTGCCCGAGCACTTTGTGTGTCTGGTATCCAAAGACAAGGGAACGGTCTCCCTGGGGACATTTCCTGCATCACCAGGACCCACCCTCCACATCGTAGCTGATGAGTGTGTGGTTCCTGGTTCCGACTGGACCTTGGAAATGGCTCTGCCTTCTGAGTTTGAGCCTCAGGAACCACGTAAAAGGCCACGTGTGACAGCACATGCTTGTAATGGTGGAGGCAGGGGGATGTCGTGGGACTCAGTCAGCCTGGCCTACTTGGTGACTTCTGAGCCAGAAAGACCCTATCTCAAAAGGCAAAGCAGGTGACTCCTGAAGGACAAACCCGAGGCTGTCCTCTAGCCGCCGTGTGCATGTGCACACACGAGCATGTGAACTCACACACACACACACACATAAAACACAATAAAAAACTGGTCCCAGAACTTTCAGCCTGCTTGGGGACACTGCAGTTCCAGAGTTCCTTCTGGGTCAATTAAGGCTGCCGGTCTTCCTTACAGCTTGTGTTTCCTTCCTCTGCACTGGCTTCCTTCTCTTCCCTCCCCTTTGACAGGTGTCAGTTTCAAAGGCACTCCCTTATAAACATCCTGGATGCTAAACTGTGACTCAGAGGCTTCTTCCTGTGCAGTCAAAACTATGAAGCTGCCCTGTTGCCCCTAGACCTGTAATGTGTTTTTCTTCCTAATGAGAGCACTCAGAGCATTGCAGCATGTCATCTAAATCAGGATTTAACAAGCTTGCCTCTGATCTCCACACTCCACTCAAACTGTCAAAGTTCTCAGTAGTATCCTATGTGGGGCTTGGCAGTTAAGAGCACTGGCTACTCTTCCAGAGGTCCTGAGTTCAATTCCAAGCAACCACGTGGTGGCTCACAACCATCTGTAATAAAATCTTATACTGTACTTGCAGGCAGAACACTGTATACTTAGTAAATAAATCTTTTAAAAAATAGTATCCTTGCTGGGCGGTGTGGTGCATGCCTTTAACCCCAGCAATTGGGAGGCAGAGGCAGGTGGATCTCTGTGAGTTTGAGGCCAGCCTGGTCTACAAGAGCTAGTTCTAGGACAGGAACCAAAATTACAGAGAAATCCTGTCGCGAAAAGCCTAAAAATAAAATAGTATCCTGTGTGTTTGTTCATGTGTGTGTGAGTGTATATATGTACATGGGAGGGCTTTGTGTATGGGTATGTGTGTGTGTGTATGCACAAGCGTGTGTGTTTGCAGGTCAGTACATAACCTTAGGTGCCACCTTACTTTGAGACAGGGTCTCTCACTGACCTGGAACTCTCCATATAGGGGAGCTGACTTGAGAGAGGGCCTCAGGGTCTCCACCTCTCCAGCCCTGGGATTACAAGTGGGCACTACCAGGCCAGACTTTCCCATGTAGGTCCTGGGGAGCAAACTCCTGTCCTTGTGTTTGCAAAGCACACACTTTACCGAGCTGTCCTCCCAGCCCTAGCCACACCTTCCAGAAATCACACCTATGTTCAGATGGCAGAACTCTCCAATCTGGTTTGTTTGCTTTTTGTTTAGTTTTAGCTTTATGGTTACTAGCGTGTATATGTACATGTACACGGAGTGCACAAGAACACCTTTGTGGCATGATGGGATCCATTCTCTCCTTCCATCTGTGTGGGTTCTGGAGGTTGCACCATGAGTAACGTTATCAACATTATCCCCTGAGCTATCTCACCGCCCCTCCGGTCTTTTTCAACATTGAATAGTTTCATAGTCATTCTTTCACTTTATATAATAGTCACATATGCAGTGTTATGTAACATTCACATATGCATGAGCCCAGGCTGGCTTCAGACTTCTGCCTCTACTGCCCAAACAAATGTCACAGTGTGCACCGCCATGTGTGACTTTTCTTTGACTTTCATGACTCAACAGTTTCCAAGACTATAGGCCACTTCTTTTTGTAAGTTTATCCTGCCACAGAGAAACTGCAAGGGGAGATCTCTGGCCATGGACTCCACTCTGGCAATGGACACAACGACTGTATCACCCACCAGACCTCCTACAGGCTGCCTCTGGCTCTGTTCAGGTACCATGCTTGGCAGGCATGGACTGCCATCTTCCAGGGTTCAGAAAGACAGAATCAAAACTAGAGTTTTATCACAATTAGATTCAGGACATACACCTTTGGCCAAAGTACCGGAGAAGCCACTTCTCATTGCATCCTAGTGGGTGACATAGGGCACCAGTGGTTTCCTCACAAATGTGGGTAATGATGATCACATGATTAGGTGGTGGCTGCCAGGATTTCTCAGAGCAAAATTACCCTTTTCCTTTGTAATTGGTTTTGTGGGGACATACATTAAAGCTATGACTAAATATAAAGAGTAACTAGCCAGTCAATGGTGGCACATACCTTTAATTCCAGCACTTGGGAGGCAGAGGCAGGCGGATCTCTGTGAGTTCGAGGTCAGCCTGGTCTACAGAGTGAGTTCCAGGACAGCCAGGACTGTTAGAGAAACACTCTCTCGACAAACAACAAAAACAAAAAATGTAAATAACTGACTCTTGATCAGACCTTCAGTGTATTTACTCATTCCTTCATGTCTGCATTGGGTGAAGGACTCCTGTCTCATTCGGTAAATTATAATCCATCACTCCATTATTTTATTTTATTTTTGCCTTTTGAGACAAGGTCTCCCTATGTAGCCGTAACTGTTCTGGATCTCTCTATGTAGATCAGGCTGATCTTGAGCGTAGAGAGATCCCCTTGCCTGCCTCTGCCTCGAGTGGTGTTAAGGATTAAAGATGTGTGTCAGTCACCGTGCCTACCTTCCTTGCTTTACTGTTCCAGCAGGAGCCTGTGCACGCGGATCTCCTTATCCTTCCGGCTGATCTTCGCGGGTTCATCTGTGCTTCCTTGCTCACTGTGCAGGACGCTCCTAGCTTCCTCGGGATCTTCCATGCCCCAGCCCTCCAGCCATTCCCTTAGAAGTCAGATCTGGGCCTTAAATGTGTTATTTACTCTACCGACTGTTCTTGGGCCGATTGACACAATACAGACAGCTAGGGAACATAGGAAAAATTCACATGTATTACTATAAATAATAATAAACATATTTGGAGCCACAGTTATTTCTAGATTCACCTGTGTATATCCAAAATAACATCCGATTCTAGTCCAACTTGACCAGCTTCAGTTCTCTCATTTCCTATGTATGCAGTGTTCTCTACTGGAGAAAAGCTTGGGTCCTCATGACTTATCTAATCAGTCATTCTCTGTGTTAACCTCCCCACGACAGCCTGTCACATTGAGAAATACAGATTTGGTCTTTGGAGAGAGATCCACAAACCTTTGTAATTTCCTGAGTAACACTGGCTGCTAGGAGATTTTTTTTTTAATAAATATTTGGCCATTGACCCTGGCTCCTGCCTCAGAGATCTTCAGACCTCTGTGATTTATTGAGTTACTGCCACATCTAACTCAGGGCCTCTAAATCTCTGGAATTTCCTGAGCTAGGTGCATCCTCTGTTGAACCAAGGCAACTCTTGACATGTTCCTGGATAGCCTCAAGATGGAGCTGGTTACCAGGGGAACCAGCCATGTGATCAGATAGGGCAAGAGCCTCTGAAGGTGGATCTGGACATGAATGGTCAGTGTTTTAAACAATACTGCTTCCTAATCAAGCCTCCATAAAATTTCCAGGGACAAGGTGTGAAGAGCTTCCAGGGCACCAGTGGAGGCAGAGGGGCACTCAGAGGGCACTGCATCCCCTACAGCCTTCTGCCATCAACTACATCTCTTGTACCAGACTTTCTAATACGTGGATGAACACCAGCAAAGTGTTTCCCTGAGCATGTGAGCTGCCCTGGCAAACTAAGCAAAGCTAAGGAGGGCTGTGGGAAGGCAGACCTGCAATTTTTGTCTGAAGCAAGCCTGAGATGGCTTGAGAAGTGGAGGCAGCCTTATGGCACCAGACTATGGGCTCTGCTCTCTTCTGGGTAGAAACTCAGAACTGAATTGTAGGTGGCCCGGTCTGTGTCCACTGAGGAACCTGGTGCCAGAAATGTTAAGAGTGGCTGAGCTGGAAGGACGCAGTTCTTTCTCCTATGTCTTGCACTGTCCCCCTGCCCTTCCAGTGTGATCATCCTCACCTGCACCCAGACCCAGTGCCCTGAGTCTCCTCTGGCAGCTTCACCAATGCACCCTGCAGGCTTCCTCTCTCCTTTCCCACCCTTTGCCCCATGTATTTATTTTCCTTGGCTTCCAAAGCCTGACACCAGGCTGTCTCTAAAGGAACTCCACTCTCCCTTGTCCCACAATACTCCACTGCTGTCCCTTCCTTGTGGGGGTGCCCTCTCCCTCCCAATAAGTCACCCCCTGAACAGAATCCTTCTTGTCTCTCTTGACTTTAACCTCCTTTTCCAGATCAGTTTCCCACCTGAACGCTAGAGCACCATGGCCCTGAAACCTCTGCCTTGCTCGGCTCCTGCCTCAGTTTGTTTTCCATTGCTATAACAAAAGAACCGAGGTTGGACACTTTGAAGAAACAAGATATTTAATTAACTCGCCGTTCTGGAGTCTGAGCCTCTAAGATCAGATGGTTTCTGGCAAGGAACTCCTCAGTTACATCACACCATGCCAGATGGCATCGTGGCAGGAGCGCAACACAGAGAGAAGCCAGGCAGCAGAGAGGCCTTTTTATAACAGCAGCGCATCCTCCTGAAAACAAACTCCTCATTCCTTCCAAGGGCAACACCTCTGATGATTTAACAAGTGCCCTGAACTCTAGCTCTGAAAGGTTCCGCACCTCCCAGCATCACCCCACTGAGGACCAAGCACCCCCCCCCCCCGAGAGAAAACACATGCAAACCACGACAGCCTGCACATGGTTTGATCTGTGAAGGAAGGGAGGGAGAAGCGACACACCATTAATCACTTTTCAAGTTTTACTTTTTATTTTTGGGACAAAGTCTCATGAAGCCCAGGCCGGCCTCCAACTTGCTCCACAGTTTAGAGTCGCATTGACCTTGGGATCGTCTTGTCTCTACCTCGAGTGCTACCATTGCAAATGTGCATCGTGCCTTGCTCATGCAGTGCTGGGGTCGAACCCAGGACCTCCTGCACACCAGGCAAGCACTCTACCAACTAAGCCACATCCCCCATTTCATAGGTTCACTTTCAACAAACATTGTCTTGAGATTCAGCTCCATTTTGTCTCTATCTACTAGTTACCACCTCTGTTAAATTTATATTTGCCAGGGGAGCCAAAGCTGCCTGTCCAACTGTTCTTTTAGTCTTTGTTCTTTTGAGACAGAGTCTTGTTATGTAGCCTGGGCCAGCCTCCACCTCTTGGTGTTCCTCCTGTCTCAGTTTCCCAAGTGCTGCGATTACAATCACAGGCCACCATATCACTTCCACCCACTCTTTATGATGCCACAGACTCTTCTAGCAGAACCTCCATGGCTCATGCAGGGCATTGATGCCAGCTGACCCCACCCACCATTTCTGTCAGCAGATGCCTCGGGATAACAGAGAGGGGCATGGGCAGCTGCTTTAACCACTTTGAGCCCTCCCCCTTCCTTCTCCTGTTTCCCACTAGAATGTTTGCTAATCTTTCTAAATTTTATGTGTGTGTGTGTGTGTGTGTGTGTGTGTGCGTGTGTGTCTGTGGGGGCCAGGGGGGTCTATGTTTCTATATCAAGTATTTTCCTCTATTGGTTTCCACCTCTTTTCCCCACTTTTCTTCTTTTTTCTTTTTCTTTCTTTCTTTTTTTTTAAAGACAGGTTCTCTCACTGACTAAGCTGGCCAGGGAGTCTCCAGGATTCCCCGTCACTGTCTGCCATTTCTGGAGTTACATACGTGCACGACCACGTATGTCAGAGCTGGGGGCCAACCTCAGGTCCCTATGCTTGCACAGCAGATCGATACTTCAGCTGCTGAGAAGCACCCTGGAACCCCATCTGCATCTAAATTTATTTATTAGTTTTTAGAATTTTATTTATGTGGTGGGGGAGATGTCCGTGTCATGGCATAGGCATGGAGGTCAGAGGGCAGCATTCAGGAGTTAGTTTACTCCTTTTACCATAGACCTCTGGAGATCAGATTCAGTCAGGCTTGGCGGCGAGTTCATTTTATCTTCTGAGCCAGCCCTGCCCAGAAATATAAGCTAGATTTTTCCCCCTATGGGCAGATTTTTCAGATGACCTAAAGCTATACAGGCCAGGATCCCTTTTCCTCATGTACACCCCACGCGGTCTGTGCCTTATTCATGCAGATTCCTCTCTCAGGCCTGACTTCCAAAGACCACCACCCTGGCATCCTTAAAGGCATCCCACATGCAATCCAAGGCCTTGCCAGTTTTCCAACTCTGCACCCTGGTAGAATTTAGGCATCTGTGATATATGTCCTTTCTGTTTGATAGTCCTTCCCAGAGACAGGCACTATGTCTTTCTCATGGTTTTACTCCCGGGAGACCTTGTACACAGTAGCAGTTAGACATTATTTGTTACACTGAAACATCAAAAAAGTTTATAGATTGCTTTCTTTCTCTGAGATAGGGTTGACTTCCAGGCTATCCTAGAACTCTGTAGATCAGGCTGACCTCAAACACACAGAGATCTATTTCTGTCTTTAGTGCTGGGACTAAGGGTGTGCCACCACACCTGGCTAATAAAAGTATAGACATCCCTTATCAGCACACATTAGTAGCTAAAAGACCTCATTTTTCTACCTTAGAGAAGATAAGATACTTTCCTCACCTAAAGGGCAAGAAAGTTAGAATGGTTGCCTTTATCTCCCAGGATGCAATGTGCTGTGTTAGTACAGAGGGAAAACCCACTCAACACTGCAAATTCAGACTTGCCCATGTAAGTTCAATTTTTTTTCTTGCTCAGATGGTATTCCATTCTAACTTTTTAAAGCTATGAAATATTGACCTATTTTCATCTCCCACAGAATATATTATTCGTTACTTTCTTATTGCATAAAACCCTATTTTCATCTGCAGCGACATGGCCCCAATCCTCATTCCTGGTAGGAATTACATAAAGACAGCAGCAGAGCTGCTTGCTTTGTGCTGGTCTTAGCCTGGAATCCCATAATCCGCTTCAAAGCAGGGCATTATGGAAACTCTGGCTGCGCTGCTCTGGCAGACATTTTCTCCACTTAACTATATTTAGAGCAAGAAGAATCATTTGGTTATAGTCTTCTACTGTGGCAGCCCCTCCTTGGCATCCTTGGGATGTTGGGATACCATGGATCTGCAGAGTGGGGCTCCACCAAGCTCAGTTCTGACTGTGTCCGTTCTCTGCGCCATCTGCTACTGATCTCACTGTGCTCGGCAGCTGAAAACACAGACTTCGGGGGGTTTCCTCTCGTCCCGTCATACGGCTCTGAATGTCTGTTTGTCCCGACTGACCTAATCACCAAGTTATTAGAGTCAGCCATTTTAGGAATTTTAATCTTTACATAGAAGAGAAAGAAGGGCTAGAGAACAAGTCTAGACATTCTTACAACACAGACAAAGGCTTCATGCCGAGTTCCTACATCCTTATCCTTGTGATCTGGAATGTGACCCCCCATGGTGAGAAACGGCACTGAGTATGTGGTTAAGTCAGGAGTTTTGAGGTGGGCCATAGACACAACAGCCTATACCCTTAGAGAACAGGGCAAAGATCTGATACACTACAGAGGAAAGGGTGATGGGACCATAGATGGGAGATTCTATTCATGTGGCCAAATGCCAGGGAGTGTTGACTGCTATCAGAAGCCTGCCAAGACAAGGACAGGTTCTCCTGAGCTCTGTCGAAGCCGTTTTTCCACCAGTGAGACTGAATTCCCAGCCTACACTGTGAGTGGTTACATTTCTGCTGAATTCAGCCACCAAACTGTGGTCAGCCACAAGCAAATAAAACAGCAGCCTATCCCTGAAATGTTTCTATCTTCGCTGCTTTCCTTTTTGAGCCGGTGTATTTTTAAAACCCTATCTTATCCTTTATAATATGTTTTCTCTAAGAAAACAACTTCCCATGTTCTTTTCAGTTTCCTTAGACGCTGGATTTCAAAATAATCTAACACACATTTAGCAGTCATCTATTGTGGCCCTGGACTGTTTAGGCACTATAGACAACAGACACAAAGCAGCAGCACACGCCTGTCCTTAAGTGTCTGTAAGTAGGAAACAGTTTTGATAGTGCTCATTGCCAGTGCGTGATAAAACGGAAAGATCAGAACCGTCAGACGGGCTGGAGTGATCAAGAAGAATGAAGAACTACGAGAGGCGCCTGGGCTGTGCGGGTGGGCTTGAACAAGCAGACCTTACTGGGAGACACTAGAGCAAAGAAGACTCAGAATTTATCTTCTAGTCTTTCCTCAATTCCCCCCCCCCCCCATTTTCATTTCTGTGTTGTACAAGTAACCTAGATGCTTTTTCTCCTTTAGTGTTCAGTGCTACGGTTTGAAGCTAGGGCCTTGTGTATACTAGGGGAGTTTTCCACCACTGAGCTACACTGCCAGCTTCTTTGACTTTGAGACACAATCTTGCTGAGTCCCCCAGGCTGGCCTAAAACTAGGGATTCTCCTACCCTTGCCTCCTGGGTGGCTGGGCTGAGAGATGTGTACCACCAAGCACCACAGGGTTTCACTTAAAACATTCCAGAAACCTAAAATTGTACCATGAGATGCTTCTGTAATCTCATGCACACAGAGCAAAGCTTTGCTAGCAATTCAAAGTATCTTCTTCAGCCCCCTGCCCCGCCCCGTACACACAGTGCTCTGTTCAGGCAATTACTACAGGAATGGCAGCAAGCTGCACACATCTTTCCCTACCAGCTGTGAACAGAGAGGAACGGGGCATTTTAAGATAATTCATCTTTGGAACACACACACACACACATGCGCACACACATTTCCCTAATCTTATTCTGATCACATGCTTTAGAAAAATCACACTTTTCTAACCACATAATGGACTGTGCTGAGGGAAGAAGAGAATGGGGCTGGGGGACGGGAGCAGGGGAGACTCGGGGAGGGAGAGAAAGAGAATTTTTGTTATTATTTTGTTTTTTACAATAATCTGAACAAACACAGGATGGAGAGGGTGTGGCGAGATGTCTTAGCAGTTAAGAGTACTTACTGTTTTTGCAGAAGACCTGAGTTCAGTTCCTAGAACCCACACCAGGCAATTTGCAACCACTTGTACCTCTGACTCCAAGGGATTGGACGTCCTCTTCTGGAGTCTGTGGGCATTAAACTTACATGCATACGCTCATGCACATACATATACCTAGAACTAAAATTTAAAAACTAAATTAATTAAAAGTTAAAGTCAAGGTCTGAGGGCATAGCTCAGTTATTGAGTGACATGTGAATGGCCCTGGGTTCAATCCCCAGCGCAGTAGAATTAATTAAAAGCTCTGTGTGGTGACTCGCAACTGTTACCGAGCACTCAGAGGCTGAGGTAGGAGAATCTATACAAGTTCAAGGCCAGCCTGGCCTTCGGAGTGAAGAAAAACAAAAGTAGGCTGAGTGGTGGTATGCCTTTAATCCCAGCAGGTGGATCTCTGTGAGCTTGAGGCCAGCCTGGTCTACAGAGCAGAGCGAGTTACAGGACAGGCTCCAAAGCTACAGAGAAACCCTATCTCACCCCCCCCACCAAAAAAAAAAAAAACCCCAAGTAAAATTTGCTATAAATTGGGGCAGTACCTGCTTAGGTCAGGAATGAGAAAGATCTTTTCTACTGTTCACCATCTTGGACCATGTTTACCTTTGAGACGCAGAAAGGTGCAAATGATGGAGAAAACAGTGACCATTAAAGCAGAGCGCCCACACCACTAGAGTCCGGCATTCAGCGATCACTACACATGCATTTGGCTTGCTTCCTTTCGGACATTTTCCTGTGTCGATGTGTGTATACGCATACGTCACAAAACGACGTTCTGAGGGCTGGTGCCATGGCTCAGCTAGGAGTGTGCTCTATGCTAAGCCTAGTGAGTGACCCGAGCTTGCTCTCTAGGATGTACATGGTAGAAAATGGCTCATCTCCACATGTGTGCTGACAAAAATGGGCCGGGCGGCGGTGGCGCACCCCTTTAATCCCAGCACTCAGGAGGCAGAGGCAGGTGGATCTCTGTGAGCTCGAGGCCAGCCTGGTCTACAGAGCGAGTTGCATGACAGACAAACCTTGTCTCTGGGGGCAAAAAAGAAAGAACATACAGTAAATTTAAAAATGTAATGCATATGGGGCTGGAGAGATGGCTCAGTGGTTAAGAGCATTGCCTGCTCTTCCAAAGGTCCTGAGTTCAATTCCCAGCAACCACATGGTGGCTCGCAACCATCCGTAATGGGGTCTGATGCCCTCTTCTGGCCTGCAGGCATACACACAGATAGAACACTGTATACATAATAAATAAATAAATAAAATATTTTAAAAAAATGTAATGCATATATATTATATATCATATAATGTGTGTGAAGTGTGTCTGTGGTATGTGTGTGCATGGTGTGTATATGTATTGTTTGTGGTGTGTGTGATTTGCCGTGGATGTGTTTGGGATCAACACCAGACCTTCAGACATACTAGTTACCATCAAGCTACAAAGTAACCCTACTTAAACTACACTATAACTTACTTGGACAATTCTCCATGGCTTTTGTTTGCTTGTTTCAATTTCTGATTATAATAAAGGTTCTGTGAACATTTTAGCTATTTATTTGCATATCTGTCAATTTTTTCTCTCCAAATTAATTTCTAGGTGATGGTCTCTGTGCTGCAGAAATGTGATATATATATATAGATATATCACATACATGTAAGTAAAAAACTTGTACAATAAAAATAAATATTTAAAAAATTACTTGCTTCTGTCTAGAAAAATAGCTTTTTTTTTGAGACAAGGTTTTTCTGTGTAACCCTGGCTGTAGACCAGGCTGTCCTTGAATTTACAGAGATCCTCCTGCCTCTGCCTCTTGAGTGCTGGGATTAAAGGCGTGTGCCACCACCACCAGGTGAAAAATAACTTCTAATAACACAGGTAGACAGAGGATTCATGGTGTTGGTGGGATCATCTGTGTGCTGTGTCTCTTTGCTTAGTTTTTCTTGCTATTTTAAGCCCAAGATTATAATCTACTCTTCTGTTCATATTTTGCTTCCATGTTAAGTAGTAGATAAAAGGTACATGCAGATGTAGCTCATTTGGTATAATACCTTCCATGGCATAAGGTCCTGGTCTGATCATCTATTCTCACACAATACAGCAGCAACACAAACACATATGTTCCCATATTTGAAAGTCAAATTTACCGGAACATCAGTATGAATCATAATCAACCTAAAATGTCACACCCATTAAGGGGACTATCCCCAGCTGTCATTTCCTGGTGAGTAAGGAAATAAATTACAGTAAAGGAAAGAAAACCTTCAGTGGACTCTTTAGGGGAAATTTCCCACTTTACGGTGCCCAAGAAAACAACATTTTCCTACAAATGTAGTGTTGGTATTTTAAACTGAATCAACAGCCAGGTGTAGTGGTACACACCTGTACACCCAACTCTTGGAGGTTGAGGCCATAGGATCATGAGTTGAAGGCTAATTTGGGATACAATGAGTTTCAGGTCAGGCAGGGCTATATAATGAGATTATTTAAAAATAAAACAAACAAAAGCCACCAAAAAAAGAACAAAACCAGAAACGATCACTTTACCAGACACAGAGAGCTTCACTGCTCTCCTATTTACTGAGAGGCAAAGAAAGATCGCTTGAGGGAAGGAGTTCAGGGCCAGCCTGGGGAACAGGGTGAGTCCTCATCTTCAACATCACAGTATCGAGCTGAAAATGTATTTCTGAAGGGTTTGTTTTAAAAATAGTGTTTTTAACTACGAGAAACAGTGGATGAACACGGCTACATTTTATTTTAGAGGTCACAAGGGGCCTCTTTCTTCAGTTTGCTCTGCTCCAGGCTTCCCCACAGGCTCACAGAAACATCTAGCTTAAGAAAGACTGGCTAAGGGTGGGAGGGGGGCTGCTCTTCTTCCTCATTTTGCAGGTGACAGTCTCTTCAGCACACCGTCACCATCTTGTGGCCTTTGCCACATTACTGTTAAGACCTCCGTGCTTCTGTAATTGAGGCCTGAAGACTGTCTCCTCCTAGTGACTCCCTTGAGAGGGAGGAGAGACACTGCCAGGCACACCAGTTCCCACCCTCTGCTGAGATGGCATCTCTGTGTTTACTCAGGATTCTAAAATACCCAGTTAAATAAGTAAACACACCAGACAGATTTAATCTGAGAGCAGTGTCACCATAAGGAGAACACTTCAGTTTTGTCTTTGAGCTAAGTCTATTTTATTCAGTTTATTCTTTTTTCGAGATAGGGTTTCTCTGTGTACCCCTGGCAGTCCCTGAACTCGCTCTGTCAACCAGGCTAGCCCTTGAACTCAGGGATCCGCCTATCTCACCTCCTGAGTGCTAGGATTAAAGGCGTGGACCTCCAAGCCCAGCTAGCTGTATCTATTTTAGTAGTTTCTTTCTATTTCATTTTCATAACTGGACATACTGGTGCAGATGTACACATTCCTAGCACTTGGAAAGCAAAAATAGGAGAGTCAGATTCAAAGCCTTCCTTAAAAATATAGGAAGTTTAAAACCTGCTTGGATCTAGGCTGTGGTGGGGCATGCCTCTAGTCCCAGCACTCGGGAGGGCAGAGACAGGCAGAACTGTGAGTTCGAGGCCAGCCTGGTCTACAGAGCCAGTACTAGGACACCGAGGGCTACACAGAGAAACTCTGTCTCGAAAAAAACCACAAACCCAACTCCCCCTACCCCATAAAGCCTGCTTGGGCTGTATGAGACTGCCTTAAAAAAACCAAATCATGCACATACATTGCAGAGGAGCGGGGTTCCTTGCATTCTCCTCTGCTTTAGAAGGTGGGTAGTGTTCTCCAGTTTTGTCTCTAGATCCTTCCCACTAATCTATTAGGGTTTTTAAAGATGTTCTTTTTTGTCCTTATTTTTGTCTGTCGTCTCTGTTGTCCCGGTCTCTCCTTCCGGGTACTTGGTACTGTCTCCGTGGTATCCCTCCAGCTGTCACTCTCCTCCTAGCAGGCCCCGCCTCCTCTCTGCCTGTTGTCTCCTCCCTTAGCTAGTGCAGCAGCTGACCTCATCCTGCCTGCTGGCGAGGTCTTTCCAGGACACAGTTCCCGGGTAACCCTCAACGGGCAGGAAGTAACTAAACCTAGCCTTCTCCCAAGCCCCTCTGCGTTGGAGGGGAAAGGTCCCAACAAACAAAAGGTCCACCTTTCTTTCTCTAAGAAATGCTTTCAGATTTAATAACTTTCTTCTGCTTGCTGTGGTTTGTTTGCCTTTTTCTCTTTTCTCCACATAAATACACATTTTCATAGGAAGTGTACCCAAACCTTTTCAACATTCATCTTTCCTTGCCCAAACTCTCATTTACATAGGGAACTTACCGGGGGCTTTGAAGTCGACAATCAAATCTCCTAAAAATCCAGCTGATACACGGCAATGAGCAGACGTGGAGGTGAAGGATAAAATACTTGCCATTATTTTGGAAAACAGGTCAGACTTAATTTTGGGAAGTGTTGTCTATTTCTAGATACCCAGAAAACTCCTCCATATGGAAATTAGCTTCCCTTCTAAATAGATTTGATAAATGCCAAGTATGTACAGAGAGAGAGAGAGAGAGAGAGAGAGAGAGAGAGAGAGAGAGAGAGAGAGAGATTGAGGAGAGTGTTGTATGAGGCAACTAGCTAATGTGACTCTCAGTTTATACTATATTACACATTTTCTACTACGATTATAAAAACAACCCGCAGAGTCCTTCATGCCAAATGTCCTACTGTACTTTCTATTGCTGTGGTAAAACACTGACTAAAAGCAGCTTGGGGAGGAAAGAGTTTGTTTCACCTTACAGTTTACATTCTGTCCTGAAGGGGAATCAGCGCAGGAACCCAAGGCAGGCAGCACGCAGGGCCACAGAGGAATGCTGCTCACTGGCTTGCTCAGCTTGATTACGCAATCTGAACCACCTGTCCAGAGGTGGCGCTGCCCATAGTGCACGGGGCCACATCCATCATGGACCGAGAAAATGCGTCACAGACTTGCCGACAGGCCGATCTGATAGACGCCTATTCTCACCTGAGGTTCCCTCTTTCCAGATGACTCTAGCTTATGTCAAGTTGACAAAACAAAACCCTATCCAGCATGCCAAGTTGGTAGGGAAAACATAACACAGTCTGTCCTACTAGACAAAAATTCCCTTACGCTAATATATTTCCATTGTAGAAAAATCTAAAAAACAGAACAAAATAAAATCTTTGCACCTAGAGCTAATTAAGCACCAATGGCATTTGTTATCATTCAAAACTTGACTTTAAATTTAGAGGACATTTTATATAAAAACCAGAGGGTATAAAAAGGCGATCAGAAAACAGGAGAGATGGCTCAGCAGTTAAGAACATGTACTACACTGTGAGGCTATGGGGTTGGTTCCTAGCATCCGTACCAAGTAGCTCACAATTGCCTGTAACTCCAGTTCCAGGGGATCTGATGCCCTCTTCTGGTTTCTGCTGGTACCTTCAGGGGATCTGATGCCCTCTTCGGGCTTCTGCTAGTTCCTGCAGGGGATCCGATGCCCTCTTCTGGCTTCTGCTGGTACCTGCATGTAAGCGGTACAAGCAGGCACGCAGGCAAAACAAGGAATCTTTAAAAAGAGATGATAGAAGACGGCATTTCCCCCTTCCTATCCTCCTGACCTCAGGTTCTTCTCTTAGGAAGCAACCGCTGTTTCCAGCGTCTACAGAGGGAGTCTTCTGGAGAGAGACAGTCAATTTCAGGCTACCCCAGGGTTTTTGTTCTTTTGAGACAGGATTTCTCTATGTGGCCCTGGCAGTCCTGGAACTATTTAGACCAGGCTGACCTTGAACCCACAGAGATCCATCAGCCTCTGCCTCCCGAGTGTTGGCATCAAAGTCATGTGTCATTGTGCCTGGCTCACAAAGTTAATGGTGGCTTTTTATGTATGCTATTCAAATTTTTCTTTCTTAACCATATATCTTAGACATATTGTTTTCCTTTCTTTTCTTCTCTCTTTCCTTCTTTCTTTCTTTTTTTCTCTTTTTCATTTATTTATTGGTTTTTCAAGGTGGTCTATCTGTATAGCCCTGATCCCTCCATAGACCAAGCTGGCCTCTAACTCAGATCTGCCTACCTCTGCCTCCCAAGTGTTTGGATTAAAGTCACCTGGCTTTGCACTTTAATTTTAAAGACAGGATTCTTTATTGAACCCAGAGCTTGTGGATTCCGTGCTGGGATTACAGTTGTCAGAGCCGTACCTGAGTTTAAGTAGGTACTAGGGTTTCAGAACTTCACTGCCAAGCTACCCTCCCAACTTTTTTCTTTCTTTTTTTTTTTTTCCTTAAAGAGGCGGGGGTCCTCAAGGATCCCACGCTAGATAGCTGAGCATAAATTTGGGTTTCTTTTCTTTTTTTCTTTCTTTTTTTTTTTTTTTTTTTTTTTTTTTTAGTTTTTCGAGACAGGGTTTCTCTGTGGCTTTGTAACCTGTCCTGGAACTAGCTCTGTAGATCAGGCTGGTCTCGAACTCACAGAGATCCGCCTGTCTCTGCCTCCCATGTGCTGGGATTAAAGGCGTGCGCCACCATCTCAACGTCTTATTTTTTGCGACACGGTCTCCCTTTGTAGCCCTGGATGGCGAGAACTCGTTATGTAGACCGATCTGGCCTGGTACTCACAAGGATCACCTACGTCTGCCTACGCAGCGCAGGGATTAAAGGCGTGAGGTTTCCAGGAAGCTGAAGCCTACCGCCGCTGACGGGTCCTAAACCAGTCGGCCCCGCACCCCCAAACTCAGCGAGGCGGGCGCAACCCAGCGGGCGAGCACAGACACTCGGGGGCGGAGCCCGCCGAGCGCACGCGGAAACTAGGTCACAGAAGCAAAGGAGGTTTTTGTGCCGATCTTTACGACATTGTCGTATTCGCTGGGTCCCGGCCATAAAGCAGGCTCGAGTCGGCCAGGCAGAGGCCGCGGACCGAGCTGCCATGGCGGACATGGAGGATCTTTTCGGGAGCGAAGCGGAGAGCGAGGCGGAGCGCAAAGGTGCGGCGAGCGGGCGGGCGGACTCCGCGGATGGGTGCACGGGGCGCCGAGTTGCTTTCCGGCCGGAGGCGCTCCACCGGGCATCTGGTGCTCCCACGCTCTTGCCCAGCGCCCCCTGCATGCCCGGCGGTGCCAGCCTCTCCCTGGAGACGAGCGCGGAGTGGGGGGGGGAGCAGTCCAGGGACGGGTGGTCTGCGCCCCGCTGTGCACACCTGGCCGAAGGACTAAGTTGTTCACTGTTCATCGTGCCCGATAACGCCCTCCCGAGTGAGACAGTGAGATGATGGGGGGACTGCAGATGCTCATGAAGGGTCTGGGGGTGGGATGGGGACCAGGGTGGAGCTGTGCCGAAGGACTGCACGCTGGAGATGAAGTGCCCTTGGTGAGCCTGTTCAGAAAACTCCTTTCCTTGTCTGTGATGTAAGAATGGGGGCACTTTGGGGGTGTTGGAGAGACGTGACAGAAGATTTGGTGAAGAATGAATGGGTTGCATGGAGGTTTTCCTAGCACGGGGGCTAAGAATATTTGGATTTGAGATATGAGTAGAAGTAATTTGGAATGAGGAGAGATCGAGACCAACCTCAGAATTCTTGCAGCCTTCCAGGCCCAGATGAGCCTGCATCAATGTCTTTTTCCTCGCCCCTCCCCCCGGTTTTTGCCAACTCCAGTTTATTTGTAATGACTGCAATGAAGGGAAAGTACAGAGAACGGAATTCTGCTGTGAGAGCTCTGGGCAGGATCAGCCCCGAATACTTCTGCATAAACTCCCGTCCCACAACTTTTGCTAGTAGTTTTTCCTCTTTGTTTGTTTTTCTCTTTGAGGCACAGTTCTTGTTTTGTTTTTGTTTTTGTTTGTTTGTTTGTTTTTTTGTTTTCCGAGACAGGGTTTCTCTGTGGTTTTGGAGCCTGTCCTGGAACTAGCTCTTGTAGATCAGGCTGGTCTCGAACTCACAGAGATCCGACTGCCTCTGCCTCCCAAGTGCTGGGATTAAAGGCGTGCTCCACCACCGCCCGGTCTTGAGGCACAGTTCTATGTAACCCTACCTATGACTTCCATCAGGTTTTTCATTTCATTCATCCAATAAACAACGATCGCTATAATTTTCTGTTATTTTGCCAGGTGTTGGGAACATAATCATGAGGAGACAGGTTTCCCCCTCCCCAGCGTGGTTCTTTTTTGATGCACAGTTGACGAGAAGCATTGGTTAGTGAGATGTACCCTACCCTGTAGTGCTTTCCTATAGTAACACAAGACACAAGGCAGTCAGTGGTCTATCGAGATGATGGCAATTCTAAGCTGTTTTTCTGTCTTTTCTTCCTTTTGAAAACTTTTAAGGTCATTACAGTGTTCTTCCATCTTACCTAAGTTAGTGGACACTCTCAGGTTTACTTCTGGGTCTGGTGTGCTGTCCTTGACAATGGCTCTTGATCTTGAAGTTGGAATGGACATGACAGAGTAGTACTTGGTAGGCCTGCTTGTTTGTCTGCCTTGCCACCCTCACCCCCAGCCCGACTCCCGGCTGCCTCCTTCCCTTTCTTTTTTCCTCTTTCTTCACACGATCTGCTGTGTGCATTGCCTTTGTTGACTTTATATTCCCGAATCTCTTGCCTCAGTGGGTGCTGGTGTTACATATGTGTACCTCCACTCCCCGCTAGTTGTTATTTCATAGTTTTCATTTCTAGTGTAGGTTGACCTTGTGTCTCATTGCTATCCTGCAGCTAATACATTAGCTGTATTTTTGTGGCTTCTTTAGGGTTTTCTATGTCTGAAGCCATGCCATCATGATTAGAGACAGTGTACTGTTTGTTTCTCTTACCTGTGTAATTTACTTGCTCTGGTTAGCACTTTCTTTATAATATTGAATGGGAGTTGCAAAAGTAGATATTGTTCTTGACCTTAGAAGGAATGTATTTAGGTTTCTAGCATTACTTATGGTTTATAAACATTGATTCTATCAGGCCAATGATGACATCACCACTTCCATTCCTGACTTTAGTAATTTGAATCTTGTATTTTTTTCTTTGACAATCTGACTAAAGGCTTAATTTTGTTAATGTTTTTAAAGAATGAACTTTTAGCCAGGTGTGATGGTGTGTCCTTGTAATCCTAACACTCAAAAGGCAAGAGTATTGGCGGAATTTTAGGTCAGCCTGGTCTACATATGGGTTACAGGCCAACCAAGACTACAAGAACCCATATGATGGGAAAAATAAACAAAACCAAAACTTCTGGATTTATTGGTTTTCCATTGGTTTTCCATTCTTTTTCTTTGTTATTCTCTTGCTGATGCTATTTTGAGCTTTTCTCTTTTTTTGTTTTTTTTTTGAGACAGGGTTTTTCTGCATAGTCCTGACTGTCCTAGAACTCATTCTGTAGACCAAGCTGGCCTTGAACTAACAAAGATCTGCCTGCCTCTGTCTCCTGAGTGCTGGGATTAAAGGTGTGTGCCACCACTGCCCTAGGTTAGGCTTTATTTTCTTTTTCTCAGCTCTTAAGATATTGATACCTTAAAGGTAGGATATTGTTTGAGATGTTTCTTTTAATGTAGGTGGTTGTAGCTATACATTTTCTTTTGAGCAACACTGCTTTTCCTTTTTGTCCCCTAAGAAAATATTTTCACTTTCATTCATCTTAAAATAATTTCTAGTTTATCTGTGGTTCATTAAGCCCTTTAAATTAGTAAAACTTTTTGAAGCATAGTTGCAAGCTCTGAAAGTCTAGGTCAGGCTGAATCATGCTTAGGGGTCGTGTTCTTGTCTAGCACATGCCAGCCCTGTTGTCAGCACCGCAAAGTGAAAAAAGATGTGTGTTTGTTGGACAGTCTTTTTCTTTCCACAGTTGAATGCCTGTTTTTGCTCTGTAGTTTGTGATGAAAAATCCGTTGTGATCCTTACAGAGGTTCCCTTTTATCTTGCTGTTTTCACAATTCTCTGATAACTTGGTGATATGTTTATGTGTGGATCCCTTTAAGTTGTTCCAGTGTGGCACGATGTTCATTAAGCTTCTTGAATGTGTAGACTCATCAAATTCGGGTCATTGTTTCTTTAGCTATGATTTTCTTCTAGAAGGCCATAATGCACATGTGATGTACTTGATGGCCATGTACAGTTTTTTCCTATACTTATGCTTTTGCTTTTTTTTTTTTTTTTTTTTTTTTTTTTGGTTTTTCGAGACAGGGTTTCTCTGTGGCTTTGGAGCCTGTCCTGGCACTAGCTCGGTAGACCAGGCTGGTCTCGAACTCACAGAGATCCGCCTGCCTCTGCCTCCCGAGTGCTGGGATTAAAGGCGTGCGCCACCATCGCCCAGCTATACTTATGCTTTTAAGCTCTGTTTATTTTTCTTCTTTTCTCCCCCTGCTGTATTTCTGGCACAGGTTCCGAGTAATGGTACCTGTACCAGAAATACTGCTTTGTGTGGGTGAACGAAGCAGTGAAGGGTGGGCTGGGTAAGGTAAAACATGAAGAGGTCTACATTATTTATTTATTTACTTCAGCTTTTTCAAACAGGGTCTCATGCTGTAGCCTAGGTTAGCCTAGAACTTAACTATGTAGCTCAGGCTAGCCTCGAATTTGAGTTGATCCCTTTGCCTCAGCCTCCTGAGTTGATTATAGGTGTGGGCTGCTGTGCTTGACTACTGTGAGTTTGCTAAGTTTTCTTAACTGAACATTCTCCTGGTTCTTGAAACTTCTTTGCCTCTGGAACATTGAGAAAGTTTTGCCAGTTCCTGTTTGCCTTTTATCAAGTTGAGATGGACTTTTAGAGTTCTTTACTTTGCTGACATTACCTTGTGTTTGCACGATTCCCCCAGATTCTGATTCCGGGTCTGACTCAGACTCTGACCAGGAGAACGGTGCCTCTGGCAGTAATGCTTCCGGCAGCGAGAGCGACCAGGATGAGAGAGGTGAGTCAGGACAGCCCAGTAACAAGGAACTGTTTGGCGACGACAGTGAGGAGGAGGGAGCCTCCCATCACAGCGGCAGCGACAATCACTCTGAACGATCAGACAACAGGTCAGAGGCTTCCGAGCGATCTGACCATGAGGATAATGAGCCCTCTGACGGAGAGCAGCACAGTGGCTCCGAGGCCCACAACGATGAGGATGAGGAGGGTCACAGATCAGATGAGGGGAGCCACCACTCAGAAGCAGAAGGTTCAGAGAAAGCACAGTCGGACGATGAGAAGTGGGACAGGGAAGATAAGAGTGACCAGTCCGACGATGAAAAGATGCAGAACTCTGACGACGAGGAGCGGGAGCCAGGGTCTGATGACGACAAGCTGCAGAACTCCGACGATGACGAGGAGAAGATGCAGAACACAGATGATGAGGACCGGGCCCAGCTTTCTGACGATGACAGACAGCAGATGTCTGAGGACGAAAAGGGGAATTCTGATGACGAGCATCCTGCAGCTTCTGATAATGATGATGAGAAGCAGAATTCGGACGATGAGGACCGGCCACAGGTGTCCGATGAGGAGAAAATGCAAAACTCTGATGACGAAAGGCCACAGGTCTCAGATGAAGACCGGAGGCATTCAGATGACGAGGAGGAGCAGGACCAGAAGTCAGGTAAAGATTCATGGGAAGGTGCGACTCAGTAGAAACATCTGGGTGCAGCCTTGCTGTGTTCTTGTTTCTTTCTAAAGATTTTTTTTATCATACTTTATGCCGGTGGCTGTGTTCCATGCATGCATATCCGTGTACCACATGTGTGCAGTGCCCATGGAGGCCAGAAGGGGTGTTAGGTCCCCTGGACCTGAAGTTAGAGCAGGTTGTGAGCCACCACATTGTTGCTGGGAACTGAACCTGGGTCCTCTGGAGGAGCAGCTGGTGCTGTTGACCACTGCACTATCTCCCGATTTCCTTTATTCCCATCTTTATTATGCTGTTTTTCATTTTTTGTTTTCTCCGCTTCCATCCTTTTATTTTCACCTTTAAAACTCTCTCACACACACTCTTTCTGCGTTCTTCTAAATTTCCCTGTTTGTTTTCACTGTCTTCCCCTTCCATTCATACACTGACTAAGTAGAGGAAAATATTAAAGAGCGTAGTCTTAGAGAAGCTAAATGAACTACATTGGTTCCATTTTCCTGAGAATTAACAAGCACATTGGCAGATTTGCCTGCAGTAAATGGTGGCATCTGCGTCCCCTCCCACCCTCTATAATTGTCAGTTAGATTGCTCAGCTCAAATCAACACATTCTTCATATAGGATATGAAAATATTTTAGAGATTAAATTCTTTGTATTATAATAAGTCACCCCACTTAGGTTAAATCTTTCTGGAGTAGTATATGGATTGCTTCATTTCTGTAGGTGACTGGTCATGTTAAATTAGTTTGGTTCAGACTTGGGAAGCTTAGGTACAAAGGGAGAATTGTTCCTGTAATATCTTACGAGGCGCATTCAGAAACACATTTTGACTTTTTTTTTTAAACAAGAGGACAGGATATTTCCCAATATGGGTTTAAATCTGCATAAACTGTGCTTAGGGCTCCATAAGTATTTAGTAACTAGTTCAGAATAAGATTCTCTGTAAGGTTATCAGAATGTTGAAGCCTTATACAGTGCTGGCAAATTAATTCAAGAACGGGTAAGAGAATCTGCTAGCATTACAGGCAGTTACCACCACAACCAACTTTTTAATTTTTTTTTCTGTGATGGGCTGAACCCAGGCCCTTGGGCATGCTAGACACACACTTTGTGACTGACTGAGCCACACCTCCACCCTTTGGTTTGTGTGTAGTGTAACTAGTGTTGACATGTTTATAGATTTATGCAGCTACCACGGTCATGATACAGGACAACATGTTATGAGACACATTTTATAGCCACGTCCCTTGCCTGTACCTAACCTCATCACCAACTGATCTGTTCTGTCACCGTGCTTTTGTCTCCTTGTGCCTCGGCCTCATCAGTTCTAGGACTACAGGCACTGTCTCTGCCAGGCTAGGTTTTCTTCTTTGACTTAGCCTAATATATTATATATTGATACAAATTGTTACATGTATCATACTTTTCTATTTGTTGCTGAACTGGACTACTTTGCATGAAGTTGCAGTTTCTCTGTAAAGCTTGGATGTGATTATGCACACCTTCTAATTCTGCTCTTTTAGAATCTGCAAGAGGTAGTGATAGTGAAGATGAAGTTTTACGAATGAAGCGCAAGAATGCAATTCCGTCTGACTCGGAAGCGGATAGCGACACTGAGGTGCCCAAAGGTAGCCCTTCTATTTCTTTGGTACCCACGTGTAGTTCATGACTCTGTGCTTTTAAACCTTTGTAAACTCCTAAAACTTGACACTGCGTGACTCACAGAAAACTGTGTGAACCTGCTTCTTTGTTTATAGTTTGAGTGAATTTATCAAGGGGGGCTGAGCCTTTGTACTGTTTGGAAGTGACAGTGTGTTCTTCATTCGGAATAAGGAGAGTACTGGACTGACTGTCCTTACTGTTCTCAGACAGTTTAATATTAGATGAAGGCGTGAGCTTTGACTGGGTTACAAGTGTAAATGCAGGTTAAGGTTATTGCAAAGGTGGAGATGTGCATGTTCATCTCTGTTCTGTTTGCAAATGGCAGGTGGCCCCGCAGTGAAGATGTCAGTGTGAAAAAGTCAGAGCAGAGCTGTGGGGACATGCAGCTGTACTACGCTGCGTGGCAATAGGCATTGCTCCAAAGCTCCGAGAGGTTATCTTAAGGCAGACATTTTGAGAGTCACCTGTAGAGAAAAGGAAAGCTAGACAAGATAGCAAATCCTGAAGTTACTTAAATATCTGCTCAGGAGTGTGCTTTGGAAACAGATGACCTGCTGTGTTTGGCTGGTCAGATTTCTTACTAGATATAAAATAGGGTGATGAAGACAGAGGAGTTAGAATTGGTAGGTGGTGTCCATTGTTTCGTTTCGGTCACCAGTGTGATTTGAGGCTGTGCTATATACTGTGACTGTTGTAGGCACTGGGAGTATGGCCATGATTGAAAATCATCTCCTTTGTAGAACTTGCCACCTGGTGCCTAGGTTTGCAGACTGAGGAGACAAGTAAACCTCACATGTACAGTGGTTGGGTGGTGATATGCGCTAAGAAGGGAATACTGAGGGAGGGGAAGGCACAGACATGTTTCTGTTTTACTGTAGAATGAACTTCAGTACTCTGGTCACCTCCGCCTTGCTGTCCAGTGATTTTTTTTTTTTTTTTTTTTTTGTCCCTTGTCACATCTTTGTAACTCAGTCTCATAGTGTATTCTAGACTGTGTCTTTACCAGTTGTTCTAACTGTTGTAATTACAATTTTAAACAGACAGCTGGCTCTCCAACCACTCTTCTGGTTTTCTCTTTGCTTGCTGCTTTGATATGCACCTCAGTGATGTTCTGCCTATGAGGGTGGGGCTGGCTAGACAGACATCTAACTCTGACATAGAATGTGTTAGCCCAAATTTGAAGATTTAGCCTGGAAGAAACAACTGGCTTCTAAACAATAAGAGAAAATAAAAGGATACAGAGATGGACGAGGAACTGCCTATGCTTGTACCTGTCTCTGCACACACGTGCCACAGTGCCTGGCTCTCTGCACACACACCCGACAGTGCCTGTCTCTCCACATACACGCTACAGACCTAGGTTTCTGCCATTTCATGATGCTGACCCAGACCAAGTGTTAACACTCTGCATCTTTCTTTCTGCGCTGAAGACAATGGTGGAACCACGGATCTGTTTGGAGGTGCTGACGACATATCTTCAGGGAGCGATGGAGAAGATAAACCCCCTACTCCGGGACAGCCTGTGGTAAGCCGGGGTACTGGCGTGAGTTGACCCATACTCAAGTCAGACAGAGTCTCAGCTGAAGGCTCTCTCTCTTTCTCCAAGAAGTTTCTAACCAAGTCGTCTTATGTGGATGACTTTCTGTGGGAACCTTGGTTCCAGGGAGGCGTAGGTGTGACTGCGGCTGCTGTGAGACGGTGCTGGGCCTCACAGGCCAAGAGCATGGGGACCTGGCGTTTAAGAACCTTTCACTTTCTTGTTTTCCTCACTCACGCAAAGTGTGCTGTCTTAGTAATTCTTCCTCCATTCCTTTCCTTTTTGTTGGAAACAGGGCCTTGCTAGGTAGCCGCGGCTGGTCTCGGACTCACTATGGGGTGCTAATCTTCTCCGATGCCATTAGCGTGGCTGCATAAGTGCTGACTGAGTGAACACTCTGTCCATGAAGGTCTGGCAGATCCTAGGTCACAGTGCTCTGTAGCGACACAGCCAGCCGTGTCTTGCCTTTCCTGAGATGTTTTGCAGATAGAAGAACAGTGCTGACGACCGAGGGTGCATTAGTCCTAAGATACTATCTTACTATGGTTCTTGCTGGGCATGGCAGCTCATACTTGTAATCCCAGTACTTGGAAGGCTGAGGATTTCTCTGAGTTTGAGGCCAGTGTGGGCTATATAGTGAGTTCTAGGCCAGCCTGGGTGACAAAGTGAGATCCTGTCTCAAACAAAATGAGAACAAAGGGAAAAGCAAACAGTGTTTCTTGCTCCCTTGAGTTATAAAATGTGGAGTTGATCTTGGGCCGATGCCCACTCCCCACAGCTCTTACCTTCTGCCTTCTTGCACTAGGATGAAAACGGCTTGCCTCAGGATCAGCAGGAGGAGGAGCCAATACCTGAGACAAGAATAGAAGTAGAAATCCCCAAAGTAAACACTGACTTAGGAAACGACTTATATTTTGTTAAACTGCCCAACTTCCTCAGTGTAGAGCCCAGGTAAGGAAATCAAGACGTCTTCTGAGTGTTGGCTAGAAATATGTGGGTATTAACCTGGTGGTGGTGACACACACCTTTAATCCCAGCACTTGGGAGGCAGAGGCAGGCAGATCTCTGTGAATTAAAGGCCAGCCTGATCCACAGAGAGAGTTCCAGGACAGCCAGGGCTGTTACATGAAGTACTGGGATCAAAGGTGTACACCATCACCGACTGGCTGCAATCTGATGCTCTCTTATGAATGAGGAGACACCTGGTCTCCAAGACACTTGGTACCTACTGCAGCCCACCAACACTGCAGTGAGAAGCAGACCTGCTGGCACATTAGGACAACAGCTATTCAGCTATTGGTGAAACTGTGCTGGTGGGGATTCCTAAGTTAACGCTCAAAGTCTTGGGTGATTTTCACGCTTCACCCCAAGGAAAAGGATGTGGCCAGCTACAGTGTATGTGCTCTTTTCTTTGCAAGACTCCTAGAATATGAAAAATTGATTTTTTTTTTCTTTAGACATTGTCTCACTATGTAGCCCTGGCTGGACTGGAACTCACAGATCTGCCTGCCTCTGCCTCTGCCTCCTAAGTACTGGCATTAAAAGTGCCACCACATTGCTATCTGGAATGTTTAACCTCGTTTATAATATATTTCAAGAAATATATAATAGCATAAAAATGTTTGATTTTAGCATATTTTTAATGTTTTTAAGTTGAGCTTCAAACTGAGCATTGTGGTTTTTAAAGTTATGAATTTTGATATAATGGGTTGTGATAACCATAACTACACCATGGCAGTGCTCTTTATGAAATAGGATTAATAGTTTATTTTAAAAACCCCTTGTAGGCCTTTTGATCCTCAGTATTATGAAGATGAATTTGAAGATGAAGAGATGCTGGATGAAGAAGGGAGAACCAGGTTGAAACTGAAGGTACCGTGCAGTCTTTGCTTCCCTCCTATAGCGTGAATCTGGGGACACCAACCTAAGTCTTGAGCTCTGAAGATGGTTTTTGTGTCCCTTGTTCTATCAGCCAGGTTAACCATCTGTCTTCTCAGAATTCTTCTGATGCTAGGGATTGAACCCTGGGCCTCTGCATACTCTTCATGGAGCTGCATCTTTGGTCCCTGACATGCTGCCTGGGGGCTAAACCTAGGCCCTTGCAGGTTAGGCTTTTTTGAAAATTGAGGGCAGAGTCTCACTATGTAGCCAAGTTGTCCTTAAACTCGTGGTCTTCCCACCTCCACCTCCGGAATGCTGGGTCACAGACATGAGCCACCATGCCTGACTCGGGGTTGAGCTGCTGCATTTCCAGTTGTCCCATCTTCACCACATGCAGCAGCTTCCTGAGTGTCTGTGTGACATTGCTGAAATGGACCCTGTCTAGGCACAGGTGTCAGAGCTGTCAGTGACCACTGTAGAAATGCAGACCAAGTAAGAAAGGTGAAAATGCCAATAATTTGCTCAGGACCATTCACCTGGTAGGTTTAGCCTGATAGATGGTTTGGACTTTCCACTGTCTTGGCACTGCAGGCTCATGTATCAGCATTATTTGCTTGGTATGCATGTGTACCAATTCAGAGTTAGCAGTATTAGTTTCTCATGGCCATTTTAGTGCCTCTGACTTCTTTTTGCTCCTTCTCATTATTTTCATCATTTATATAAATTAATGTGGTAGTTCTTTATTCCTTAATCATTTTAGCAGTTTCCTGTTTTCTGTCATGGTGCAGCAGTGAGTATCAGTGTGCCCACTGTATGTTCCAGTGTGCACCTCATAGTTTAGACATCAGTATTTTGCTCTAAATCCTCAAGTGCTTCAGAGTACAAAATGGCAGTGTTTATTAGGTAGCTCTCCTTCAGACGCTTGGGATGTGATGGAAAGTGACCCTAGATTTGTTTCTTGGGTGATGATGGTTGAGACAAGGTGAACAGGCTTAGAGTCAGTTGGTGGCTGAGTCAGGAACCAGCTATGTGCTCTGTGAGGTTCTGTGTCTTTAGAAGTACTTCCATGTGCTTCCTTCCTGTAGAATGAGATTTCATAGTGTGTCCTCAAAGACATCTTTCAAATGTCTCAGTTGCTAATTCCTATGCTGGTTTGAATGAGAACGGCCCCCATAGGCTCATACAGTTAAATAGTTGGCCCTCAGCTGGTGGAACTGTTTGGGAAGGATTGGGAGGTGTGGTCTTGGAGGAGGTGTGTCACTGGGAGTGGATGAGATGTGAGCTCTCAGCTACTGCACCAGAGCATTACTGTCTACCTGCCGCCATGCTCCCTGCATGATGGGCATAGCTCTAACTCTGAGTCTGTGAGCCCCAAATTAAATCATTTTTTCTTCTTATAATTTGTCTTGGTCATGGTGCTTTTATCTCAACAATATAGAAGTAACTAAGACAATACCTGTATACATGTTCATATATTTATATGTAGCTAACTGCTTTAGTTGGGGTTTCTGTTGCTGTGATAAGCACCGTGACCAAAAGCAAGTTTGGGAGGAAAGGGTTTATTTTATCTCACACTTTCATATCATAGTCCATTGTTGAAGGAAGTTGGTGCAGGAACCAGGAGGTAGGAACCGAAGCAGAATCCACTGTAGAATGCCCTTACAGGCTCTCTCCTTGTGGCTTGTTCAGCGTGCTTTCTTAGACAGCTCAGAATCACCTGCCCCAGGGATAGCACTGCCAGCATGAGCTGGGCCTCCCATATCAATCATTAATCAAGGTAGTACCACAGACTTTACTACAGGCTGATCTGATAGAGACATTTTCTCAATTCTTCCCAAATTTATCTCTAAGTTAAGTTGACAAAAATCAACTGGTACACTAACCTATTGTACACAAGAGAGAAAACAGGAATAGAAATAGATTGTCTTACTTTAATTTCTTAAATTTTTAAAAATTACATATATTTATATGGTGTGTGTGGTGTGAGCACTCATGTGTCCATGTCGCACATGAACTTGGGATGTTTCCTTCTCCTTGTTTCCATCTTCTTCACTCCAACCCTGCCTCTTTAGACGGGGCCTTGCCTTGTAGCCCAGGCAGGACTGAGATCCATAGTCCTCCTTCTGCAGTGCTCCTTCCATAGCGCCCCACATGCTGGGAGCACAGACAGGCACCACAACCCGTGGGTCATTCTGCATGAGTGTATTTTCCACTTTACTGCTATTTTAGTATGTTTCCGGGATGTAGCATGATAAATGCATGTATTTAATGTGCTGTGTTCTCCTGGAAGGACCATCAAGTTTTTTTTGCTTTTTTGTTTATTTTATTTTATTTTTTTATTTTTTGAGACAGGGTTTCTCCGTAGCTTTTTGGTTCCTGTCCCGGAACTAGCTCTTGTAGACCAGGCTGGCCTCGAACTCACAGAGATCTGCCTGCCTCCGCCTCCCAAGTGCTCGGATTAAAGGCATGCGCCACCTCCGCCTGGCAACCATCAAGTTTTTAATATCTGCAGCTGTGACTTATTTTCTAAATCTGTCTGGCATTTTTCCATCCTGTAGGTGACAAGTCCCCATATGTGTGTGGGGAGAGGTATTACTGGTTCCTAGGTCCGTGATGCTACTTCCTCTACATATGTGTCTACCTCCAAAGTTCTCTTTGGAGTTCAAGCTTTGTCTCCTGTACCTCAGAGCTTCTCAGTTTTAAATGCTCTGGCTGTGAGCTACCGTTGTTATACTAGCAGCTCAGAAATTCACTTAAACACTTACATTTTTCCTGCTTTTAATTTATTACAAGAGGATTTCACTGTTGCCTGTTTTTCTGTCATGTACCTACCGTGCTCATTCTGTGACTGCCTGTCTCTCAAGGGAGTACCACTAGTACCGTTTCCTAAGGCTCTGTATTGTGAAACAGGTAGAAAATACAATAAGATGGAGGGTGCGCCGAGACGATGACGGGAATGAAATTAAAGAAAGCAACGCTCGGATCGTCAAGTGGTCAGATGGAAGGTGAGAGCTCGTGCCGGCTCTGGGCACGCAGACCAGGGGAGAGGAGAGAACTGTGGACTCCCGACCTTACTAGGGCCAGCTCTTGTTAGAGATCTCCACTAGTTACTCCTTGTGGTTGCATAGGAAACCTGAGAGAAATGATAGTTGGAGGTGTTCGGGTTGGTGGGAGACAATAAACTAATGTGAGTTAGGAATCTTAGCCCCCTTGGCCCCATTGCATACTACTCACATGTGAGGAAAAGTTCCTTCCCTGGGAACGGGTAGAGACGGGGCCTGAACCACAACAGGTGTGACTTCAGGGAAGTCATTTCCATCACAGTGTCTCTCCTCCTGCATTTTGAATAAAGAGGGAAAAGTGGTTGGATCACACTTTCAGGGAAGTAAAGCTGTAGAGCGAAAGCCTTTAGATTTTAACATGCCAAGTGTTTTTTCTCTTCAGCATGTCCCTGCATTTAGGGAATGAAGTGTTTGATGTGTACAAAGCCCCACTGCAGGGAGACCACAACCATCTGTTCATAAGACAAGGGACTGGGCTGCAGGGGCAGGCTGTCTTTAAAACGAAGCTCACCTTCAGGTACGTGCTCTTAAGAACATTGCTTGGTTTTGGTACTTGGTCCCTGTGGTGGACTCCGCAGCACAGTCCAGGGCTGGTTCTTGCTTCTGGAGGCTGAGACTTAAAGGACAGAGAACGTGCTTTCTCGGGAGCCAGGTCCTTCAACCAGGTTTACATGGCTGTAATGTAAAAGAGAATGTCGGTGTGTGAGTTCTAGTGACTACTATCCTCCAGGAGAGCTAACGTGCTTGTGTCTGTGCTGGTCAAATGGACCCTCTGTTTTCAATAAAACTGACTCGGAGACATCGGGTAATTAGGGCTTGTGTATGCTAATGTCGAGGAAAGGCATGGAGTTGGGGGTGTGAATACTGGGGCTGTCCCGTTGCCTAGTGCTGTTGTGTCCAGATCTTTGTGGGAATGTGTCCCCGGCAAACCAGAGCACCCTGGGCACTGGTGAGGGTGCTGTGCTTCTTTCTTGAGGATAAGCAGACCCCTTGTCCTGAACGACAGTCTGGAGGGGGCACCAACTCAGAATTGTTAAACTAGGCTTCAGGATTGGGCCTGCATCTATTTCTACTTGTGTGACTTTGGACAGCTTTCATTTTGTGAGATTATCTCATGGGGTAGATGGGGAAGGTCAAGATGCAGGGGGACAAAGCACAGTATCTGTCAGCCCTGCTTAGCCTCGGCTGGCCATGCTATACAAGTTTCTTCACCCCAGTTTCTCTTTTCCTCTTTTCTTGTCTCCCTGAGCTAGATAAAGTCCATGGCCCTCCAAGTAGAATATTCGATTTTATGGTCTTGTCTACTTCTTTGAACAGAAAGTGGCTGCTGGCTTTATGTTTTTATGATGTGGGTACGACTGGCTTACAAATATATTGATTAACAGTGGGGAATTCCTGTTCATTTCCCACAGGCCTCACTCTACAGACAGTGCGACACACAGGAAGATGACTCTGTCACTTGCAGATAGATGTTCAAAGACACAGAAGATTAGAATCTTACCGATGGCTGGTCGTGACCCTGAGTGCCAGCGCACAGAGATGATTAAGGTATGTGGGGTAAATCTATTCATCCGGGAATAGATTTGTGTATTAAGAACAGACTGTAGGGACTGGAGAGATCGCTCAGAAGTTAAGAGCAGAGGACCCGGGTTCAATTCCTAGCACCCACATGGCGGCTCACAATCCTGCAACTCCAGTTCCAGGGGACCCAACACCCTCACCCAGACATATATGTAGGCACATTTTTTTTTTTAATTAAAAGAAAAAAGAATAGATTGTAGCCAAGTGGTGGTGTATGCCTTTAATCCCAGCACTTGGGAGACAGAGGCAGGTGGGTCTTTGTGAGTTTGAGTCCAGCTTGAGCGAGTTCTAGGATAGCCAGGACTATATAGAGAAACCCTGTTTCAAAAAGCAAGCAAGCAAGCAAGCAAGCAAGCAAGCAAATGAAAAGAACATATTGCCCAAACCGTGTGTTTATCTGTTCATTATGTCTTATTGGACTTCCCTTCCCTCTTCCGGTGGCGTGGGCCATGTTAATTTACTAAGCATATACTAAACAAAGATGTGCAGGGGTAGTGATAAACATATGCAAGCTCTTGGGTTCTTCCCCGACAGGGCTTGACAGTGACCACCTGAGTTTTCATATATCAAACACCACTACATCATCTACACTAGTTGATCCTGTCGGAGCTCAGTGGGCACACTAAGGAGGAGGCGCAGCAGTCCGAGTGAAGACGACCTAAAGTGGAGTCTCACAGAGTTGTCTGAGTTTTGTTTTGTGATGCTGAGGATTGAACCTAAAGCCTGTGGTTCATAGATTGTGAGTTCTGAGTCAGCCTGGTGTATGCTAAGATCTTGTCAATCAAAAAAGCAAGGCAAGAAGTTTATTCCACTTAAGCCTAACAACCCAGGTCTAATCCCCAGCACCCACACTGTGAGAGGATAAGACCAGCTCCCATAAGCTAGCCTCTGACCTACCTCCCCCCCAAGCAAAATAAATAAAATTATTTAAAAAAAAAATGTTTCGAGGCTAGAAGGTCCAAGAGTAAGGCAACAGTGGCTGTTGAAGGACGTCTTGCTGCATTCAGGCATGGTGGAAATCCTGGTGATGCAGAGGGAGCAAACTCGCTTCTGTAACAGCCAGTGCTGGGACAGCCCATCATTCCTTTAAGTTATCAGTTAACCCATGGATTAACTAGCTAGCTAGGGACTAAGTTTCCAACACATGAAATTGGCGTCACTTTCAAACCACAGCAACTGGTGTATTTGCTTTCTCACAGAAAGAAGAAGAACGCCTGAGGGCCTCCATCAGGAGGGAGTCGCAGCAGCGCCGCATGAGAGAGAAGCAGCACCAGCGGGGCCTGAGCGCCAGCTACCTGGAGCCTGACCGATATGACGAGGAGGAGGAAGGCGAGGAGTCCATCAGCCTGGCAGCCATTAAAAACCGATACAAAGGGGGCATTCGAGGTGAGTGTGGGGTAGAGTCATGTCCCCTTGTGTGTCTTGTGTGTCACCTTGTACACGAGTCAGTGTCTTAAAGATACTGAGCATTTCCTGCCAAGTTTGAGGCTGTCCTGGCAGGGTAGGACCCTCGTGGCTCTCTTCCAGGTATTTTATTTTTGGAGGCTTTCCTTGGACAGGTCCCTCTTCCCTGTCTCCTGGGCGTTGGGTTTATAGTCGTGTACACCACATCAGGCCCCTTGCAAACTTACCCCTTGTCCTTCTGATTTCCACTTTGAAAGGTTGACGGTTTTTGTTTTCATTTTGAGAAAAGCTCTCATCCCAGTGTAGGGATAAGTCCCACCCCTTAGGGCTTTAGGGGCTCGCCTTGGGCTAATGTTTGCCTATAAATTTGGTGAGCTGCTCCCAGACGCTGCTTCTGCTTTCCTGGTCTCCGCAGGAACGGTGGTTCTGTAAGTCTATTTCCCCATTAAAGCTGTCTGCATTCGTTACAATCTGCATTCGTTTACGCCGTTACAGTCCAGGTTGTCCTCAAACTTTCAGCAGTCTCCTGCCTCAGCTTCTTTAGTGCTGGTATTCTAGGCATAAGGCACTTTACTCAGCTAAGTTGCCAGTTATCAAGAACATGTTACTGAGACACGTGGTGCTTTCTTTGCCTTCCTGCCTACCTTTCTCTAAGCCGTGTTAGGCAGCTCCCTCCTCTCAGTGGTTTTAGTTTGCATTTACAGCACATACTGAATCCCAGACAAACATGTTCTCTTTGATCTCTGCAGTGTTCTGATGTCTTTGCTCACTGATGAAACTAATGGCTCAGAGCTGTCTGAACTCTAGTCCCAGAATCTATGCCTTCTTTTGGCCTCTGCAGGCACTAGGCACACACATGGTGCACAGACAGACGTGTAGACAAAACACCCACACAGTAAATAAAATCAGTAATATATTTAAAAAAAAAAGAAAGAAAAGCAGACTCAGAAGCAGCCAGGATGACTGGAATCCCCCTGCCTCAGCTTCCCGAATGTGACATTACAGGCTGTGTTACCACGTCCACCTAGTTTTTTCCACTTTTTAAGGGTGGTATTTGACAGGCCCCACAGCCTCTTTGAATTTTCCCTGTGTCATGTGAAATAAACACTCTGCTGATGGTACCTAGAACCTGAGCTGAGGACTGAACAAGGAGTGTCTTGGTGCTCATGCCAGTACAGAGTGAATGAATGTGCCTAAAGCCACTTTGCCCACCTCATCAGCTCTGAGCACGTAACCTCTCAGTTCTGAATATCATTTGCCGTGTCTGTAAATTGAGAAATGAGGTCTGTAGATGCTTTGGGTTGTGTGTGGCACTGGGTAAAAAGTCAGGGCTTAATGCCTGTTAGGGAACTACTGTACCCCTGGACTTCACTCCAGCCCTTCCTAGTTCACTCTGACAGAGCTGTGTAACCAGATGTCAGTCATACATACCATAGTATAAGGATGCAGATGACCTTGCATCCTATCCTGGCTGTGCTCGGCTGAGTGATACGTTCTATAAACACATAAATTCTCTTTATCTGACTTTTCTTGCAGGACTTCATGTGATCAGCTGAATGCTATAGAGCCTACCTATTTTGAGAACTCAGTACAGCAGCCTTCTTCATTTTGCCAATGCGAATTCATCACAAAAAAATCTTAATTGTAACATTTTTAATGTGGAATATTAGAGATGCATTCAAGGCCCCATGCATGTGCATACATGTGCACCCTTGTGCACACACATGTATCACATACACTCAAGAAAATGGAACCATAGAAATTATTTTGTTCCTCAGTGGAAAAGTACAGAGAGAAGAGAATGGACGGTATTTATTGGAAGGCAAATTCAGCAATGAATAGATTACTGTTGATGAAAATGATTCCATCTGATTCCTTCATTTTCAGAGGAACGCGCTAGAATCTACTCCTCGGACAGTGATGAGGGCTCGGAAGAAGACAAGGCTCAAAGACTGCTCAAAGCAAAGAAACTCAACAGTGATGAGGTAAGCCACATGTACTGAATTCTAGGGTTCCCTTGTTCTCGGGGCTCGCTCCTGGCATGACAAGGAGCTCTGAGACACACACAAATGAGTTCTCCATGAAGGTCCTAGTCCACAAGGTGCATGGGGTGAGGCCCATATTTGGGTACTCACTCCTTTCACGAGGCTCTGCCTTTGTCCTGCTTGCTATTGTGTGACAAAGATTTTCCCTGAGGAAACACACGAGTCTACTTACCTCAGATAGGGAACTCATAGCAGACCAAAATAGAGATACCACCAAAGTCCAGTTTGGAAAACCAGTAAGTTCTTTGGGGGTTACTTACAGGAATATGGGGGAGGGGTTACTTACATTATCAGAAATTACTCAGAGGTAGCGCCATCACTAAAACCCACCCCAGCATGGGTGACAGCTCACAAAAGCTAGGAAGTGGGAGCCAGGAGCTCAGCCTTCAGGCAGCTCCACAGCTGGGAGAGTTGCATGTAGTTAAAGCAGGCCTTGAACTCATTGTGTAATGTGGCTGACTTGAACTCCTGGTCCTCCTGCCGGTGCTGAGATTACAGGCATGTACAACCAGGCCTGGCTGATTTGTATGTATTTCTGGAAGGTACCCTGAGCATCTGCTGCCTAGGACCTCCTGAAGCTGCATTCTCTGATTGAATGAAATCTTGCTGACTTGGCTGTGAAGCCTGACAGCTAGGTTTGCTGTGTGAAACCCGCATTGTAGAAGGAGAGAGCTACCAGACCAGATTGTCCTCTGACCTCTGCACACATGCTGTGGTACATATGTACACCTTACACACACACTCAACACAAATAAATACTTTTTGTAAGTTTGTAGACTCCTGGCTCAGAGAAACAGTGCTAGGCTTATATCCTGGTCCATTTTTACACTAAAGGCTTTTGACCCTTGTCTTCTGTTCTGCCCATCTTGCAAGGCATAAAAGCCAGTGTTCATGGTCATAGTTCAGTGTCTATGTGGAGGAGCCTGCTCTAGTGCCCTGCTTTTCCTTCCAGCTTTTGCTTAGTTTTGGCCTCCGATGATGCTTTTGTTTTATTTTTACCCATCATCACTCGCTGTTTTCAGTGAGAGGCTGTTCTCGTTACTGGTCTGCCATATTGCAGGAAATGGATATCTTCCTGTTTTGCTTTCAAGCTATTTTAATTATTTTGGCTGTAACGAACTCTTCTCATGTGAAACAAAATTATGTCCTCAGGTTAATGTTGATTACCACATTTACTATTTCATGATGTTTTGGGAGTAGCTTGCTATACACAGAATTTGTGAGCATTATCCTGCAACATATTTGTTGTGAATTAAATGAAATAGCATCTTAATGGTGCGTTTACAGTGTGATGAGCAGTTGGCAAATGGGGGCTCATCCAAGCAGATGCTTAATCCTTGGCAAGCAGAACCGTGAAAATCGAGAGGTGCCATGGAACTATTTATTCCTAGTAAGAGATGCTTGTCAGATCTCCTGCAGCCGGCTGGGCTGGGCAAGTGCAAGCCTTCCGGCTCTCTTACAGAAGCTCCTTTTCTGGTTGGTCCCCCCAGCACTCTCTGAGTCGCTTTGTGCCCTCCCTGCCTTGCCCGACAGCCAGTGGTTCCCCTCTGCCTCCAGCTTTGCTATGCCTCTTCCTATCGCTGCAGCTCAGGTCGTGCCAGTGGGTGACAAGGACTGAGAGGAGCCTCCTGCTCCACTTTGTACAACCACCTCTCCATACCCCCAAATTCCAAGAACCTGGCTGTGCATCTAAGATGTGGGGGAGCTTTTGGATGTCAGGATACCCATATGAGGAGCCCATGCTATGCCAGAACCGGCTTTGAGGGTAAGGGCAAGTCTAGATTACCCAGACATGGTGGTTCATACCCATAGCCCCAAGATTTGGGAGGCTGAAGTAGGAGGCTACATAGTGAGTTCCAGGCCAGCTGTGCTATGGAGTGAGACCCTGTCTCAAAAAACAAATGGAAAAGAAAAGATGATCATCAGCTGCATCGTTGATTTGGTTGCTGCCCATACTTGCCAGTTCCCATTGCATGCCTTGGGGCAAGTCGGCTCACTTCTCTTGTTCTTCTGTTGAGGCTTATGCTTCTGCCTGGGAAAGTTACTGTATGTAGTAAATACAGATAGGAGTGTGGGAACAAAGTGACATCTAGCTCAGCAGGAAATGCTGCCTTTCCTTTCCCAGCCCAAATGGAGAGCAATGCAAAGGAGAGTACCTTATCCAGCTACTTCATTTTACAGCCTGTAAAACACTTCCTTTTCTTCCTTCAAAGACAGTGAGACAAGGTGTGTGTGTGTGTGTGTGTGTGTGTGTGTGGTGGGGCACTCTCTGTCAGCTCTCTGTCCCCAGGCTAAGAAAGGGAAACACTGGGTTCAAGGATTGACATGGAAGGCAAAGGCTCATGTGAGAAGTCAAACCTCTTTCTCACAACAGGCTGCTTGCTGAGAAGGGTTAGTACAAGGGCCTGGTCTTCTCTCCCCTCTTCTGCGGCTCCTTTCTGGAAACCACAGCAGCCCTGCCTATGTCATCACCTGTGAGCTGTCCATGTGTGTAGGAACCTGTGTTCATGACTACATTATCCAGCATCAGTTCAGTCTTAATGTTCTGTTGCTTCACGGATTTTTGGCACAGGGATGTATACTTCAGCTTGTTTCTAAAATAGTTCTGCACGTCTAGTTTCTTGAAACAAGGTCATCCTGAAGGCTCCATTGTAGATGGAGGGGGTGGTTCCTGTGCTGTGCTTGCTTGCAGCTTCTGGGGAGTCAGTCTTGGCAGGCTTTCCACCAGTGTTTGCCCTGAACTGGACCTGGCGCTGTTTGTATATAGACTTCCTTGGGAGAGCCTGACCTCGGGCTGTTGCTAGACCTTGTCCAAGAGGTTTTAGAAAAATGTTATACATGTTGAGAAGTAACACGGCAGTTCTTTGAACCACTCAAATCTAGTCTCTAACAATAAGGAATTTAGAGCTAGCACCGAACACTGCTTATGTGCTGGTATGTAATGTGTTTGCAAGATTCTGCAGTGGAGCAAAGTCAGTGCTGCCTTTGCTGACGGGGCCAGAGAGGATTTCAGTTTGCTCTTGGCTGGGGAGTGGGGAAGGAGGTCACATCCTGGGGACAAGATCCTTCCGGCAATTGGGTCACTTTACTGCCACCAGCTAGGATGTATACAGAGGAGGACTTTCATGTCCTTTATGGGTTCATAAGTTTCTCGAGCCCTCTGGTGGCACTCCCAGTCTGTAAGAATACATTTGGGATAAAAAGACAAGAAACAAGTGTTGGCTGTCATTTTGTTATCAGAGGCCCAGCCAAGGAGATCACAAAAAACGTGGGAATGCCAGGTTGCATTTTGCATCTCGAAACATTCTTTGGCCTTGTATGACTAGCTTTCAAGCCGTTTGTCTGTCCACTACACTTGATTTTGTGGTGCTAGTAACTGGGCCAGGGTCTCTCTCATCCTAAGCAAGCAGCCTGCCTCTGGGCTGTGTAATCCAGCGTCATCAATTCTTTATCTCTGGTGAGGAGTTGGTTTGTGGGAATTCTGAAGGGTCAGTCAACAGCAGAGTTTATTGAAGGAGTGCTGGCTTAAATGTGAGGCTGAACTCTTTCTGTCCAAGTTATTTCTTGGAAAGCTTCCCGAGTTCTGTTCCTAGTAGAGGGCTGTGCAGGATGATTTCAGTTGTGCTAATAGATTCTGTGCTTGTATATAGTTCTCTGATGTCTTTAAATACTTCTCAGAAACCTTTACGATGTGGGTTTTTAATATATCCAAGCAAATTATTTTTGAAAAATTGACACTGCAATAATGAATTCTACATAGGGAAAATAAGTTGAGTGCTGAGAAAGGAGAGATACTGTTGATGAAATACTTGATCATGGGGAAATGCTCCCGTAGGACAAGTGAATCTTCATTCTTTCGTGATTAGATTAAGACGCCGTGTGTCTGTGTGTGTGTGTGTGTGTGTGTGTGTGTGCAGTGCCTGCTGAGTCATCTTACTGGCCAAGGTGAACTGTCTTTGAGTCCTAACCTTTTCTAGGGTGGACCTCATTGCCCATCTCCCTGTACAAGACAATCTGCTGGGCTTGAATTCTGCAAAGCTGTCTTATTGTTTGTTTAAGAGAATCCCATTTGTAGACCTGACTGGGGTGGAACTCACTATGTAGAACAAGCTTGTCTGCACCTCACAGAGATCTGCCTGCCTCTGCTTCCCAAGTGCTGGAATCAAGTGTGCACCACCATGCCCTGCTTGGTTTTTTCGTTTTTGGTAAAAATTTGGCCGGGGGCCATGTTTTTCTTCCTGTATCATTCCAATTTTTAGTACATGTGCTGCCAAAGCGAGCACCTGCAAGATTTTTTATAAGTTACTTTAGTGGATAATCATTCACTCAGATAAACTGCCATAGGAATGTTCTCTTTTGACTTTGAGGCTATAAACTGTTTTATTTGTTTAGGAAGGTGAATCTTCTGGAAAGAGGAAAGCAGAAGATGATGATAAAGCAAATAAAAAGCATAAGAAGTATGTGATCAGTGATGAAGAGGAGGAGGAGGATGACTGAATCAACTGTGAATGCATTTTATATATTTATTGTACAGCTTGTCTATAAATACTATGTAAACATGAGTTATTTTGATGGTGATCAATTGATTTGTGTTTGTGAAAATTTAATTTTAATAAAACACTTTAAAAAAACAAGTCCGTATGCTTAAGAAATCTGCTTTTCTGTTGAGGTGGGAGCCAGCTGATTTTGCAAGCATTTCCCAGGGCCCAGGCTGGGCGACTCTCTGCTGCTGTTTGCCCCCATCCTCTCATCCCACGCAAAGAAGCCTCCTGGCCTGGCGAGGGCAAGACAGAGCAAGGCCTTCTCCTTCACACAGAGTTCAGAGAGAACAGGAAAAGCCCTCAGAAGTTAGTCCTCTAGGTCTGCCCTCACAGAGGATCACAAAGTTGGTTGGCTGTAAACAGTAAAACCTGGACTGGAGAGATGGCTCAGTGGCTAATAGCACTGGGGGCTCCCCTAGGGGGTGGGGCTTGATTCCCAGCACCCACATGGCAGCTGACAGCCACCTGTAATCTGTGCCAGGGAACCCAGTGCTGCCTTCTGGTCTCCTTGGGTACCAGACATGTGTATAGGCATACATCATGCTGAGAAGACACCCAAATTTCTGAAATTCAAGACAGTAGAAGTAGACTCTGACTTTTGGAGAATCTGAAATCAAGGAGAGCGCAGAGCCACACTCCCTCCAGAGGAGCCGTCCTTTCCTTCAGTTCTTTGGCTTGTGGTGTGACACCTGCATGTGGTCAACATGGCTAGCTGGCTTGTGCACTCTTCCAGGTCTCTGTTCCCATAGGACCAATTGAAAGTCAAATTCTCAGGTTCTGCGTAGACAGGAATTTTTGTGTTACAATTCAAACTTCATTATATATAATTTACTATAATTACTCAAGCAGTTACACAGGATTTCTGTATACCAGCTCTGGCTGTCCTCGAACTCACAGAGATTCACCCGCTGCCTCCTGAGTGGTGGAATTAAAGGCATGTGCCATCACTGCCTGTCTAAAATGAAATGTAAAAGAAAGAAATAGTTTTGAGTCTTTTATTCATGTGTGCGTGGAGAGGGTATCTGAAGAGGCCTAAAGAGGGCGTCAGCTCCCTCGGAACAGCAGTTACAGGAGGTTGTGAGCTCCCTGATGTGGGTGCTGGGAACTGAACTTGGGTCCTCTGCAGGAGCAGCCAAGAGCATCTCTCCACCCCTAATTTTGATCTTTAAAAATAACTGCTTTACGGGAGCTGAGGTGTAGCTCCTTGATTTAGAGTGCATGGCAACTTTTTTCTTTTTTAAGAGAAAAATTCTGAATCACCGTCACAACCCTTTCCCAATTTAAGTTCTTGTGTATTTTGTGGCTGACTGAGTTGAAACTCCTGCACCTAGTTTAAGAACCCTTATGTGCCTCCATCCTTCCCAAAGCAATGTGCGTGTCCCTTACTAGTTGCCAGCCTCCCGTCTCCAAGCCCATTTGTGAGGCTGTGTTCGGCTTTACCACCGCCCTGTGGGGGGCGCTGTAGGGAGACCGGGAGGCTGGGTAGCAAAGGAGAGACTTGCTCCTTCCTGTTTGCTCCTGAGGGGGGCGCTCAGGGGGCTTCCTGTTGGAGTGTGTGAGGGTCAGCCTGCTGTTCTTCACCTCAGGAGAGGCAGCTCCTCTCCACAGCCCGGGTCTGGTGTGGAGTGGGACTGGAGCACCAGGCCAGTGGACAGCGGCTCTCCTCAGGTAGGAGGGAACTTTTCAAGCGTCTGTGTGAGAGTCTCCCTTTGTAGCCCTCACAGGCGGCCTTCCTCTGCAAGTTCTCCTGCCTCAGCCTCCAGAGCTGAGGTTCCAGACATGCCTGCCCCCACGGGCCACTGTCCTGAGGTATTCTAAAGGTCCATTTGTTTGTTTTGTGAGGAGGATATTTTGTCTGTTTTGTTTTTTGAGACAATATCTTATTCTGTAGCATAGGGTGGCTTCTGACTCACAGTAATCCTGCTTCTGTCTCCTAAATGCTGGGATTACAAGTGTGAGCCACCATACCTGACTAAATATTTAAGTTCTAATAATTCTGCCATTTCCTGTGTTTTCTCATATCGGGACTTGAAGTTGTTCTCTGTATTTAGTTATCTTTTTAATTAGATTTTTTTAAATTATTTTATTATTTTTATTATATATATTTTTGTAACCCAACAAACAACTTTAAGCCTAATTGTAACTCCCCCCCCCCCCATTGAGACAGGGCTTCTCTGGGCAGCCTCGACTGTCCTGGAATTCACTTTATAGATCAGGGTGGCCTCAAATATAGAGATGCTCCTGACCCTGCTTACCACCACTGCCTGTCTGCCTAATTGTAACCTTAAGTGTATTAGATTTTTAATTGTTTTTAAATTTTTATTTATTTAGGCAGTGTTTTGCTGTATGGCCCAGGCTGTCATTGAATTTATGTGTGGTTCTTTGTTTTGTTGGTTTTAAGCTCCTAATTGTTAGGATTATTGGCGTGTGCCACCACCATGCCTTTTTTCTTTCTTCCTTCCTTTCTTTTTTTTTTTTTTTTTTTGTCTTTTAAAAATATTTATTTATTCATTATGGATACAATAGTCTGTTTGTGTGTATGTCTGCAGGCCAGAAGAGGGCACCAGACCTCATTACAGATGGTTGTGAGCCACCATGTGGTTGCTGGGAATTGAACTCAGGACCTTTGGAAGAACAGGCAATGCTCTTAACCACTGAGCCATCTCTCCAGCCCTTCCTTCCTTCCTTTCTTTCTCTTTTTTTCTTTTTTCTTTTTTTTTTTAAAAAGAGTTCTCAGTTTGTAGTCTAGATTGGCCCCCAGACTTGGTAGCCCCTCTTCGACTTCACCTTCCTGAGTGCTGAGACACATTTTTTGAAATAAAACAATTTAAGAAATATTAAATAACATTAA